GCTGGTCTTACTCTAAATCCACCCAGCAGTATGACGTGTGTTTTAGCTCAGACACACTGAAGAGTGACGTAGTGGTTTTCCCGGCGCCGTTCCCGTCTGCAGATGCTGAACTGATCAGTATTAATGAGGCGGACACTTTGAAACGGAATCTAACACTGCCGACCCGTGAGAAGGTAAGATTATGGGAAAAATGATTATAAATGTTTTTGATTCTGCTTGAAATAACCAGGGGCGCCTTATTGCACGGGATTTTCCCAGGCTGAAGCTTCAGCTACTGGGTTTATATTAATTTTATTGAACAGCCAGCTGCCTCCCGTTCGACACTATATACGTGACCGCCCTGTATTGAAATATTTCGATTTGAACTGATACTGTACGCGGTTTGTTGGCAATTAAAACAATCCTGTAATAGAGCAGGGTCCCTCTGGAAGTTCCATACGCCAGGGAACTCTGGCTGTGTTAATTCCCCTCTTAGCCACGTTTTGATTACAGCGGTATAATAATAAATCCTGCATAATCATTGCCGAAACTCGAATTCATGAATTCGTTGCATGTTTTTTTTTCTGATTAATTTTAGTCGTCCTGTTGTTTAAGTATAAAGTTAACATGTTGGCGAAGGGAAGTAGCCTTACACGTTTGTTCTGTACATTATTTCCATTGTGGCACATTTTTCAGAATCCACTAGTGTCACTGATTTTTTATTGCTTTAATGCTGATCGGCGTGCTTCTTTCGTGGTCTCTTTTCCCTGGATTTTTTGCATTTCCGTATCTGTATTCTTACGTGACACATTGCGTACTGAAATATACTTATTAAGTGTATAAAAAACACCCGTGTGAATTTTACCATACTTGATTGTTATTCTTTTATTATTTATTTATTGCTTCTTAATTAAAAGAATATACAAGTAAAGCTGTTACATGTTATGACGAAGATATTATGAGTTAATATAATGACTGTATTATGACATATTTCAATACGTCGAGTGCAATCATGTTTAATTCAAATATAAAGCACATCACCTGGTATTTTAATCTCATGGCGTCCTTTAATATGTAGGCACGAGAGGAATTTCAAATGTTAGATAAAAAGTAACATTATGCTATATTGTGAATTGAAATAATTGCTGGTTGAGTATTTTTGAATAGGAGGCAGGTTTTAAGCTGAAAATGAATAATTCACATCAGGCCGACCTGAATATTGCGGTGGAATAAATGAGCCTAAGTTTGTCTTCGTATGTTTGATGGTTTTTGGCTCCTAAATAATAATGCGTTGTAAACAGGGCCAAGGTCAGGACTTCTACATTGCCGAGGTCCAAAGTCTTAGCCCTTCCTAGGCCTGACCCGTAATGGATTGTGGTTATTGGAGTTGCAGAAAGAATACTGAGGACATGACCTCAGTGCTAGCTACAGGCATGATTGTAGCAAAATTTCTATAGAACGTATAGTAATGTATGGTATAACAGCTGTAGTAAAACTGCTGGTTTTTTGACGCTTAAGTGGAGTATCTTCCAAAAGTACCCCATCTTTTCTTAATACACCTTTATCTTGCACGATTGTTCAAAATCGGAAACGCTGAAATACCAAAACCTTTCATTGCTAAAGATTTTCTTCATAACACAGATTCTATTGTGTAAAACGGCTCAGACACATGAATAAATGACGCCAATCAGGCTGCTGAATGTTTTTTTATTTACAAAATGTTTTCAATGGTTTGGAAATTTTTAGGACTTGCGTTGTTTTATGGCGAAACTTAGGCCTACTTATGATTAATTCAGCTGGCAGCAAGATGTAGCATTTAAGGACACGGAGTAGTAGCCTAAAGATTTTTGGGTTAGCCATCAGCAAAAATCCTACTTTAATACCGTTGTGCACATTTCTCTTACAAGTATGCAGATGGATTATTATTATTATTATTGTTATTAGCAGTAATTTGAGTAGTAGTGGTATTGAAAATACTTCCAAGTGAAAGATTCTTCTGCTTTATAAGTAATAAAAGATTTCAATGTATATTAAGGCGGGTGGTGGGCAGAGCAGGAAACCGCATGGTGTCGCTGTAAGACCGCAGAAGGCTTTGCTAGGAGCCACACTCGCTCCGACTCCTCCTCGCACGAGGAGAAACATGCGCACACAAGTGCAGGCGGCCTTAGTGGAGATAAAAGCATATGGATGGTTTAGGTTAGCAGAGCTGAATGGACAAGGCGCATCAATTTAACATGTCTGATTATACATAAAACGTGGGAATTATTACATTTAAATGTAATAGACAGACCTCAGCAGCGCTGAAGAGGGTGAAAATGTATTACAGAATGGAGGCTATTTGGATACAATGCGTTACGTTGCTTTGTTTATCAGGCTTGTTAAACGGACAGACTATCTACTCAGTTTCGGAAGAGGTGGACAAAGGTACCTTTGTTGGAAATATCGCCAAGGATCTAAATGTTAATGTGCAGGATCTGGAATCGCGGAGTCTTCAGATTGTAACCGGATCTACAAAGAAATACTTCGAGGTAAATTTAAGAACTGGCATCTTGTATGTTAACGAACGAATCGACAGAGAGGCCCTGTGTCCGAATTCAGTAAAATGCTCCGTGAATGTGGAGGCTATTTTAAGCAACCCTATGCAATTATATCGTGTTGAGGTGAACATCTTAGACATAAATGACAATCCACCATCTTTTATTGAGCGCAATCATGTGTTTAATATAACTGAATACGCTTTCACTGGAGAAAAATTTCCATTGCCGGTAGCCAATGATCCTGATGTGGGCAGTAACTCGGTGAAAACGTACAAGCTGAGTCCGAATGAACACTTTACTTTAGATGTACAGAGCGGGGGAGAGCATAGTGTATCTGCTGAGTTAGTACTACAAAAGGCATTAGACCGGGAGAAACAATCTGTTATTCCCCTCCTACTAACTGCATTTGATGGTGGGAAACCTCCCAGATCCGGGACCTTGCATATAACGATCAATGTGATGGACGTAAACGATAACTCGCCGATATTCAGCAAATCTCTATATAAAGTCAGCGCGTTCGAAAATATTCCAAATGGGACAAAAATAATTAAGTTGAATGCTACCGATTTAGATGAAGGTGTCAATGGAAAGATTGTGTATTCATTGATCCTGCATGGAAATGTAAACCCATTTGACTTCTTTAGTATTGATATACAAACGGGGGAAATTATTACGAAGGGAAATTTGGATTATGAGGAAAGTACGGTTTTTGAGATTCGGGCTCATGCACAAGACAAAGGAGTACCGCCCCGTAGTAGTCTTTGCAAAGTTTTAGTGGAAGTTGTTGATGTAAACGACAACACTCCAGTCATTTCTGTGACATCGCTAATGAGCCCAATTAAAGAACATGCCGAGGATGGCACCGTGGTTGCTTTGCTCACAGTTGTAGATAAAGACAGTGGGAAAAATGGTCTTATAAAATGCAAAATTCTCGACTCAAAAGCTTTTAACTTGAAATCTACTTACAAAAATTATTATTCACTAGTTGTTGCTGGACCGTTGGACAGGGAAAGTGCTTCTGAATACAACGTCACCATCATAGCTACAGATGAGGGACCCCCGCCTCTCTCCAGCACCAGCGTCATTACTGTGCACGTTTCTGATGTGAACGAC